AAAGGAGCAGACAAGGGGGTTACAGGGAATGGGGCAGCTGTCCTGAAGGCCACTTGTTGGCCACTATGGTCTTCACAGGACACCTGAGATCCCAGTCCTCCTTCTTCCAGCCCTGCCTTCCTCTCCCCTCCCACACTTCCTCAAAGACCAGCCCAGCCCTGAGTCACAGTCTAGTGTCAGGTGTCCTACAAATAAATCATCGTGGGAGCTCTGAAGCCATGCCCCAATGCATCTTAGAGACCCCAGGCTGTCCAGATGGTGAGAACACATATGACCCTGTTTGGAGGTATTTCCTCACATAGCGTGGGGCTCAAGGTCTTTGTTAACCTGAAATCCATCATTTGTAGTCATAACTACACCTTGCTGAAATTCTGTGCAGGGGATGGGGCCAGGTGATGTTCAGTTATTAAACCCTTTCTTCAAACAAGACCTTTAAGGATGTACAGTGTATAGAATCCCGGGGGGTCAGCTCTGGCCACTGGAGGTGCAGACAGAGGTCTGAAGCCCCAGCTTCTGCTTTGCCAGCCCCAGGCATCTCTTTTGTCCCCAAGGGCTCCATGGGATGCTGAACTTGAGTATTTGACAGTCATTGAGCTAGATGACATCCAAGGCCTTCACCACTTCTGTTTTTTTTTGGGGGGGGGGTGGTGTTGAAGTAGAAAAGAATAGCTTTATTGTTTTGCCAAGTAAAGGGAGCCCCAGCGGGCTAATGCCCTTAAAACTGCATCCCGTCCCCACCTGGAGGGGGTAGTGAAGGGTTTGTGGCAGTGGTCCACAGAGGGCGTGGTCAGCGTGTGGACCTTCTCCTGATTGGTTGGTGGTGAGGTAAGTGAGAGTCAGCATCATCAACCTTCCGATTCCAACGGCTCTAGAGTCTGCACGCTTACAGGCAGTGTTACAGATAGCTTCTCCCACCTGGTAGGGGCTTCAGTATCTTGTGTCTGGACTTACTGAGGCTCAGGCTTTTTGGATCTCAGCACAGAAGGAATTCAGTGAGAGGCGAAGTGATAGGCCAGAAGTACACTGATTAATAATAGGACGCTTATGAGAGATGTGAGCGGGCAGGCAAGGAAACTCTCCCCTTCGCCACTTCTAAACACTACTTCTTTCTCTTTCTGGAAATGAAGATAAGAGTTAGACATTCCTACAGATTGGTCTCCACTCAAAATATTATTATAGACCGTAAATAGGCAAGGGAAGCTACATGGGCTTCCCTTGTAGCTCAGCTGGTAAAGAATCTGCCTACAATACAGGAGACCTGGGTTCGATCCCTGGGTTGGGAAGATCCCCTGGAGAAGGGAAAGGCTACCCATTCCAGTATTCTGGCTTGGAGAATTCCATGGTCTGTATAGTCCATGGGGTCACAAAGAGTCGGACACAGCTGAGCGACTTTCACAGTAGGCAAAATCCTATATTAACGTTGTAAGATGAAGCAAGAGAAGGGAAGGGACTCTATAAGATTTCCTTAAAAAAAGCCGAAGCATAGTTGATTACAGCGTAAGCTCAAACAGCTTGGTACTGGACAAGCTTTGCAGGGGTCACCACTGGAGCCCCAGGTGTCTCTGAACCCCCAGGGCTTTATTGTCGGTGCTCCTTTTTGGTATTTAACATTTACATGTTTGTATTGCATTTTGTTTGCCACGTGTATGTTTTCAATGTTGCAGGTATACGCACTTTTTTAAAAACTATATTTAGAAGTTAAAAAAACACTTTAAGTTCAAAAATGCAGTTTAGCTATAAAGTTTAGCTGTCCTACGGGCAGAAGCAGATAAATGGATGTTATGGAGCTTGAGTAAACAGTCATACTCAGAACAGGAAGTCCCACCAAGGAAGTCCTACCCTTGGTGGGATCAGTGTTCAGAAGGATGCTGGGGATGTATCCTTTGGAGCCGGAGGAGTGTATGCCATGGATGGGTGGAGGAGGGGTGCCACATGTGTCTCAAGTCATCATCTCTGCCTTAGAGCGGGAGGGCGCCAGTGTCAGTAGAAGGTAGGGGTGCTGAGGGATCCGGTAGCAGACTTTCAAAGGGAGGAGGACCCTTGCTTCATCCCAGTTCTGCCTGAGTCTGTCACTGTCTCTTCTGCCAAGGTCAGCGTAGCTCCCATCATGGCATTTCAGAGCCTCGAGTTCAGAGTCAGCTGGGACATTTGGAGAAGAAGGGACAAAAAGGAAAAGGGGGAACAAGAATTAAGTGTGACTTCTCAGACAGGTGTTCAAGAAAGGAGAAAAGGGCTTTGGTTCATTTTTGAGGTCTCTGGAAGGTTAGGTGGTAATCACAGGGAGAGGTGAGGATGCTGCTGACTTGACATGAACTGCTTAGCTTGCTTCTCCCCTGAGAGCTAAGGTCTTCCTGGGGGTGCATGGGCTACGGGGAGAGCCCTCAGGCTGTTGTCCATGGGAGAGCATGCAAAATGCACACCTTGCAGCTTGCAAATCTGAGCTAATGTGTGTGTCCCAGATAACCAGATGGAAAGAAAACCATTAAACCTATGTGGATCTTTGGGGCTGTAAGTTTTGAACAGCGAAGACAGCTTTAAGAGAAAAGTCCCATGAGTTTAGTCTCACTCACAGCCAGTCGTGATTCTCCAAGAGCTGAGCCTGCCTGGCGCTTTCCTGACGCAGCACCCTGTGGTCTGTCGGGGATGACTGTGCTGAGTGTATCAGTGAGATATTGCTACTTAAGCGTCCCTGAGTCAGTGGACTTAATGCACCGGTCATGGAATTGCTAAAATCACGCGTTGGGCCTGGCTGATCTTGGCTGTGCCTCACCGTCCGTCAGCTTTTTGGCTGGCCGGCTCCTGCTGATGCTATGCTGTCCTCTTTATCCCATTAGCTGACGCATCCCTGCTCCAAGTGTTTCTCCTTCTCTTGCTTCCTCCATGACGGGGTCATGGCCTTTGCATGGCCACGGTAGAAAGGCAAGATGACAGGCAGACACACATAAGGTCTTCTGAGGGTTAGAAGCAGACAGATACACTCTTGCATCTGGCTCCTTGTATTGCTCAAGCAAGTTCATGGCCAATGAATAGAGAAGCATGCTCCATCTTCCATGAAACATGTGCCTGGGCGATGCATAAAGTAGGGCTGGAGAAACGAGATCAGTAGTGCAGTTTCCCACTTGAGATCCCACCGATGCTTGAACGACCATTCCAAACCCTGAAGATTCTCAGGCAACCAAGAGGGAGGCTGTTGGAGGGAGGTGGGTGGATTGTCAGGACTGACTTTGACCCTCATGGTCAGTATCGATTGTTGTAGACATGGTGAGTTTTAGATTCCTAAAGTGGTATAGAGTTTTGGTCCCTGGGTTTCTTTTCTTTCATCCATTAATGAATCAACTGCATGTACCAGGTTGCTACCAGAGGAGAGGTGTCTGTTGCATCCTGGTTCCTGGAGCTGAAGAGGGAGAAGGAAGGACTAACATTTACCCTGCGCTCATGTCGGAAACAGTATCTGAACTGCGTCATCTCCACATTAAACAGGGTGAGCATTAAACAGGAGGGACGATGCTGATGTTAGTGTAGGTGTATTCCCAAGGTAGCGTGTCCTTGGAGACACTAGGATGAATTTCCAGGGTTTGGGTTCGAAGGCAGAAAATACAAATTTGTACGCTTCCTGTGGCTTTGGTGATGGCTGCATTTTTGATGCACAGAAAACAGGGATAGATAATAGCCCTCCAACCTGTGCATTGATTTTAAAGAATGTCTGTGTGCACAGTTTGAAGCCACAAAGACTGCCTTCAGAGCTGAAGCTTCTCTATAAGATGATCTGGAATTTTGCCACCAACTTCACGAGGATTAGTGACTGCAGTTTATATGGAGAACTTTGGAGAACTTTTTACCTCTTAAAGATGCTGTAATTTTTCTTCTCATTAGATATGTATATAGAGCTAATGGGCTTCCCAGGTGGCACTAGTGGTAAAGAACCCATCTGCAATGCAGGAGTCATGGGTTCAATCCCTGGGTCGGGAAGATCCCCTGGAGAGGAGAATGGCAACCCAATCCAGTATTCTTGTCTGGAGAATCCCATGGACAGAGGAGCCTGGTGGGCTACAGTCCATGGGGTCTCAGAGAGTCAGACACGACTGAAGCAACTCAGCATGAATGCCTGCATAGAGCTAATACCTGAATACAGGGCATTTCTCTTAATATAGGCTCTCTGCACCTTTGTCTTCTTTTATAATTATACATAATGGTCCTTAAGGCCTGTTATGTCAAAGATATAATTTCCTTCTGCCTCTTTCTGTTTTCAAAAATGGGTTATAATCAGACCTGGAAAAAAAAAAGCTTGATTTCATGACCTACAAAAAGCATTGTCAGGCATGATATAAATTCTTATTCTCCAAGTGTATATGTTGCCAAAAAGTGGTTGCAATTACATGCCTCTTTTTCAGATCACATCTTGGAGGTCCTTTATCACAATTCTCACCCCTTGGAGACACCTCATTTGATTAGATCCTGGTGGAATTCTGCTCTCCTCTGTGGAATCAGCTGGAACAGCTGTGGGCCATCAGGGCAGGAGGCCAGCTCTGTCTAGGGGCCCCAGCACGCTGCCTGGGTCTGCACAAAGGGACCTCACTCTGGCTGGTTTCACAGGGGCATGGGAGATAAAGGTTTGGTGGTTGGTCCTTGTGGTCAGAGCCTGAGATCCAATTTCTAATGGTTTTAAAGTGAAAAATGCATTGCCTGGGACGTAAACATAGGAAGTTGTTTGGTTTGGGACCTGGGAGGTGCTGGAAAGAGGCCAGAAGGATAGAAGACAGGAGAGAAAGTTCAGGGGGGCCAGAGTGGGCCTGGGGGCTTAGATGGGGCAGCTGTTGTCCAGGAGGCCGGACCTGCAGGCAGGGTGCTTTTGGGGTGAGATGTGGCCTGCCTCTGCCCTGGAGGGGAGCCTGAGAGGACCCAAGTGGTGAAGCTTTCCTTCTGCTCCCTCTTGACCATCACCCTAAACAGCCACGTGGTATGTTTTCCGAGAGGAGTGAGCTCCCTCTGCAGCCGTGGGGATGTGGCCAGCTCTGGCTCCTGACTCGAGCGTCCTCCAGTGTGGGGTGGGCACCACGCTCACCATCCCCCCACCTCCGTCCCCGCCGTACCTCTGTGCAGTGGGCGGGCCTGGAGGCTTGGGCGCCTGGGTGGGGCTGGCCCTGGGGGGTGCGTGAGCAGCTGCGGGGCTGGAGGAAGCCAGACCTTGGGGACCTGTCCAGGAGTTAGTGCCAAGGGGTCGGGGACTGAGGCCCAGTGATGGGGAACGCGGCTCGCAGCGGGCAGAGGGTCTGCACCATCCTTGGCTTTGTAAGAACACACACGTTGTTGAGGACAGACCTTAACCAACAGTGGGCTTCCACCTCGGGTGTTTTTCCCTTGAGGCCAGGTAGACTTCAGGATGTTGGGATTCAAGGTTTCTATTCTATCAAGCCAGAGTCAAAATCTATCTTCTCTGTAGACCTCAGGATGGCCTTTGTTGTAGCAGGAGATGGACTTCAATGGCTGGAGGCAGCCATAGGTGTTATTCTGGGCTCTATTATCTGTGATTCTTTCCCAATTTCTTTCTGAATGTCCGCAGGTGGGCTCCAGTGTTAAATTCAGCCACGTTTGAAGTCACAAAAAAGGGCTCTGCCAGTGATGGTCTCTCCCACCAGCAAAGCCAAGGATTACATAATCCAGTCCTGAGGGCAGGCTCTCCAGCCACGTGGCCTGAGCTGAAGCCTCCGTTCTACCACTTAAGAGCTGGTGGCACGGTGCCCAGGTTCACGAACTTCTCTGTGCTTCAGTCCCTCCCTGGAGAACAGAGGTCTGAATTGACCCTTGTGCGTCATACATGGTAGGGCTCTGGTGAAAATTAAATGAGTTAGTCCACGAAGGTGCCTCATGGGGTATCTGGCACATGGATGCCCTCAGTCACTTTGCCGTGATTGCTAACAGCTGCCCCAGTAGAGCCGGGGATCTTCAGTTACCCTGGTTGGTGTGGCCGGGGATTTGGTGCAACTCCGGGAGATGATAACGGACAGGGAGGCCTGGTATGCTGCAGTCAGGGCGTCACAAAGGGTCCGACACGACTGAGCGCCTGACCAGCGGCAGCAGCATCTGAAATGTAGAGCAGCTTGGCTTCTGTAGGCGGGTGACTGCCCCCCTCCTGAAAGCAGCCTGGGTTTTCACTTTTACTGCTGCTGTCCACCGCGAAGGTGTCCAGCGCTTCCCAATCTACTGTTTAGGTTCAGGAAGTGACTCCGAGCAGAGTCTGGTCATCCCGGGGGTCACGGAGCACAGCCTGGGCAGCACCGTTGCGTGTGAACCCCCCAGAGGGGATGTGAGTGGTGCCCGCTGGAGTTGGGAGCTGTGGTGACTCAGAGGGAAAACCGTGTGACTTGTATCCACTTTCCCAAGCGTTTCACTTTCCACCCAGTTTGATGAATGTTTGGTCTTCTTGCAAAGCGATCCTGTACTCACTTCTGAGTGTAAGAATTTGCCATTTGTGCCTTTCGTTTTAGAGTGGTTCGTGTGTGTGATGCTGGTTTTCAGTGCTCGCTTGCTGCCGTGACGCCCAAGGAGCATTTAAATTGTCCACATTGAGGCACCAACCAGGAGATTAGTACCAACCAAGAGATGGGGCTTCCGGGAAAACTCAGGTGTCTGTGTTTTTAAAAATTTCTCAGCTGCAAAGCTGTGGTATGGGACTGGCACAAAAACAGACACCTAAATCAATGGACAGCATAGACCAGAAATAAGCCCATACATTTTTGCTCAGTTAATCTGTGATAAATGAGGCAAGAATCTGTAATGGAGAAAAGACAGTCCCTTCAATAAGTGGTGCTGGGGAAACTGGGCAGCTACAGCAAAAGATGGAAATTAGAACACTTTCCTCATGCCATATACAAAAATAAACTCAAAATGGATTAAAACCTGAATTTACGACCTGAAACCATAAAACTCCTAGAAGAGAATGTAGACAGAACATTCTTTGACATAAATCACTTCTTTTTGGATTTGTCTGTTAACGCAGAGGAAACAAGACCAAAAATAAATGAATGGGACTTAATTAAACATAAAAACTTTTCCACAGCAAAGGCAATAATCAAAAAGCTGAAAAGACAACCTATTGAATGGGGGAAATATTTGCAAACGATAAAGGCCTATAAGTGACCCTATAAGGGGCTAATATCCAAAATATATAAACAGCTCATACAACTCAATGTCAAAAAACAAACACCCCAATTTAAAATGGACAGAAGTTCTGAACAGACATTTTCCCAAAGAAGATATACACATACAGATGGCCAACAGGCTTATGCAAAGATGCCCAGCGTCATTAATTATGAGGTAAATTCAAACTAAAACCACACCTGTTAGGATAAGATACCTCACACTGTTAGAATGGCCATCATCAAAAAGGGTACAAATAATAAAAGTTGGTGAGGCTGTGGAGAAACTGGCATGCTCCTACACCATTCATGGGAATGTCAATTGGTGAAGCCACTGTGGAAAACAATTTGGAGATTTCTCAGAAAGACTAAAAATCAACCTACCATATGACCCAGCCATTCCACTCTTGGGTATATATCAGAAAAAAGAAAATGCTAATTAAAAAAAAATACATGCAACTTAGTATTGTATAGTTGCCAAGATATAGAAGCTACCTAAGTGTCCTTCCACATATAAATAGATAAATAAGATGTGGCATACACACACACACACACATACACACTGGAATACTACTCAGCCATAAAAAAGAAAGATATTCTGCCACTTGCAACAACATAGATTGACTTGGAGGGCATAATGCTTAGTGAAATAAATCAGATAGAGAAAGACACATACTGTATTACATCCCCTATATATGGAAATATAAAAAATACAGCAAACTAGCAATTATAACAAAAAAATTTTAACAAAATTTAACAAAAACAAAAAATTATAACAAAAAAACAGATATAGAGAATAAACTAGTGGTTATCAGTGGGGAGAGGAAAGGGGGAAGGGCAAGATAGGGGTAGTGAACTAGCAGGTACAAACTGCTATGTACAAAATAAGTAAGCTACAAGGGTATATGGGACAGCACATAGATTGTAGCCAATATTTGGTAATAACTATGAATAGGATATAACCTTTAAAGCTGTGAATTACACTGTTGTACACCTGAAGTTTATACAATATTGCACATCAGTTCCACCTCAGTTAAAAAAAATCCTCAGATGAGCAGCCCAGGATAATAGCTTCTGACTGATTGTCTTGTTTTTACCCTCATGCCAACCCTGAGAGAATTGGAGAGATGTCACTGTGCCCTTTTATAGAAGAGAAACCCAGCTCTCCGAGGGTGAGTTGTGCCTGCAGTCAGATAATTCGTTCACGTTTTACTCAGGATAATACAGTTCTGTTCCTTGGCCAACACTTCCTAAATCTCAATAGCTTAAACAGGGAACATCTATTTCTTACAGCACCATTAGCTGCCAGCAGGTGGCTTCCTGTACCCCCATTTGAGGAGGGTCTTGGGGTCTTTCCACCCATTGGTCCAGGCTGTTTCCTCTTCTCCACGGTCACCTGTCTCCCAGTGACTCGCTCCCAGGAGTGTGTGCAGAAGATAGAGCTTGGTTGTGTTTATGACCAGACTGATGGTGATGGCTGTATCCTTGGCCCACATTCCATTGGCCAGAACTCAGGCGTGAAGCCCACCTAGATGTAGGGGATTCTGGGAAATGTAGTCTTGTGTGTCCAGGAGAAACAATCCAGTTTGGTAAACATATAGTATAGTTTCTACCACTACTGATAACATAAGGCAGTGAAATCTAAGTCGCAAGAATCTTTTTAGTGTTAAAACTGTGTTACCACTGACGTTGTTTTTTCATCATCACAACCATCCAAAGAGGTAGTTATCGCCCCACTTTTTAAGGATGAAAACCTGAGATTCAGAAAACCGCAGTGCCATGAAGAGGCCACCCCTTGAGGAAGGAGCAGGGGAACGGACGACTCACCCTGGTCTCCCCTCTCTTAAGCCTCGGGCAGTTTGGTGGGTCCACCCTTGCTGTCCACCGCCTGTGGGGCCGAAGCAGAGCCGGGCCAGGACGCGGATTCCAGGCTGTTTGCCATTGCATGTTCTGAGCTGTGTTATCGCGTGGACTGAGGACACAGGCTGAAGCAAGTCTTCATTGACCAGAGTCGGGGCTTGGCGGGGAGCGGACAACAACTGAAGTTTAAAGTTTCTGGAATGTTTTCCTGTCATCACATGGAAATGCAGAATTTTCCTACTTCCTGAAATCTGCTCATAACGCCTCCCAAGGGCCTTCTCTCTGAAAGCCTCGCAGAAGACCCCATCCTTCCTGGACAAGCAGCTGTGTTGCAGTCCATAATGAGGGGTGTCGCTTATAACGCCCGGGAGGCCTTCTGCCTGCGGCCTCGTCCCAGAGAAACCATCCTCCAGTGTTGTTTTCTGTTCGACAGACCTCAGGCAACTTCCCAACAAGAGCTCTGTTGGACGCCAAAGGCCCGAGTAGAGGTCATCTGACGACATTTCTTCTCGTTTTACCTATAGCCACCTCTCCACAATGCTCATGTTTGCTTGAGTCCAGCTGAAGCCGTTTCCTCTGGGAGGAAGCCCCCAGTGCCCTCAGCGGCCACCACCTGCCCACGCCATATGATCTGAGGGCCTCTCAAGCAGCTCCAGCCTGACCCATCAGCCGGGGCCCCCACTGCCAGCTCAGCCTTTTTGGAAGACAGATGGGGTGCAGCTAGCACTCAGCCTGGAGACCTTCCAAAACTAGTTCTAGGAGGATTCAACAGACTTCCAGGCCCCACCTGAGTCATTCCCGACCCTCAGCCAGGCTCCGTGGGACAGACCCAGAGCCCTGCCTGGCTCACTCCTTGCTGAGATGGACAGCAGGGGTCCTGACTACTCTGCATCCATCATCACGGTCTCCTCTCTGCCCCAGCCCCGGGTCACTGTCGGTATCTCCACGCCAGCTCATTCACTCCTTCAGACGGGCAAGGGCACTGCAAGTCTCTCTCTCTCTTCTGGGCTCTGAGCCCTCTCAGCACAAAGGAGCACTCTCACCTCACCCCAGAGGTGAATGCCACTTTCTTAGCCTGGAATTGACCCCTCAACCAAGAAAAGATTTAAGGAAGCAAGGCAGGAGGACAGGGGGACAACAGAGGGTGAGATGGTTGGATGGCATCACAAACTCGATGGGCATGAGTTTGAGCAAGGTCTGGGAGATGGTGATGGACAGGGTAGCCTGGCGCGCTGCTGTCCATGGGGTCGCAAAGAGTCAGACACGACTGAGCGACTGAACGGCAATGACAATAGAAACAGAAGTCAGCAAATCCATCTCAGAAAACCTGCATGTGTTGCTTTTGTCTGAGCTCTCAGGAAGGCAGCTTAGAGACTGTTAACTGTAGAAGCTCAGAAGGCCTGGCATGGTGCCATACCAGAGTCTAGAATACTCACATCAAAGAGGCAAGTGTCAATACCACGACTCAGAGATCCTGGAGTAATAACAGTCAAAGCCAGAGTCATCAATTCAACCAGAACCGTGTATTTATCATGATATCTCCTGCCTGCTGCCTCCAATAGCTTCTCATGAATCAGTGAGCCTCTCCACTTGCATATCAATATCTTGTTTCATTTCAAACCAGAAAATGAAAGGCAGGATTAGGTTTTGTTCTCAAAGTCTATTTTTCTATGCTATCGATCCAGGTGGCAACTACAGATTGAACCTCAGAATGGGTTCTCTCTTCAGGTCATTTTTTAAATGGGTTTTTATTTTCATCAGCGATGAATGAAGCAAAGGCGACTTCTGAAGATGGAACTTGAAGGCATCAAAGTGGTCCCGAGTTTGGAAGTTTTATAAAAGCTGGCTGCGGGACTCAATTGAAATGGTGCTCAGAACAAGCCTCCATGCCAGATTCGTGCTCAAGTCCATGTGGTTCCTGACACTCAACCTCTGAAGGATGGTATTTGAGTTTGTATACTTGGCATTTCAGATGCTGGTGCATCTGGCTCCTGTCCTGGTCAGAAAGAGGCAGAGCTGGAAGCAGGCACATCCATGGTGGTGGAGTGGAGTTGTGTGGACAGAACAGCATGTGGACGGTTCCCTCGATGTGTGGGGGAGGCTGCTGGGCACAGGTGACCCTTCCTGCAGCACCCCTGTGTGCCCTCCTGTCTCCTCGCTGGCCGACCTGATCATCTTCCCTCGGGCCACAGGCAGCCCTCCAGCCCTCTGAGCCCACTCCTCATCCAGCGCAGGTCCCCAGGACTTGCAAACTGCATCACAGAGTTTCCACGTTGGGGGGGCGGGGTCACAGTGGGCCCGGACTGCCCTGCCTTCCAGCGATGAAGCTTGACCACATGACACCTTGCTCCTCTGTTGCTGGTGTTTCCACCGGGAGACCCCAGTGCTTGATCTGTGGTGTTTTGGACTCATAATCTGGGCTCTGTCTTTGGCACAGTAGGCAGCTGAAATCTAGGCTGATCTCAATAGGGAGGCAGAAGATGAATCATTTTCCAGTGGGCTGGAGACCTATAAAATAAACATCGGTTCATGAACTTAAAAGACTCAGGAATGATCAAATTTGTATTTATCTTCTCTCTATGAAAATAGCATCCAAGGCAAGAGATGCTGATTTTATATATTGTTATTTCTACCCAAAGTATTCTCTCTCACTTAAGGCAAGTATCTGGGGACTTCCCTGGTGGCCCAGTGGTTAAGACTCTGCCCTACCAGTGCAAGGGGGCATGGGGTTTGATCCCTTATCAGGGAACCAAGATCCCACTTGGTGCACAGCCACGGCCAAATAAATAAATAAATGTCACTGTTATGATTTAACTTGAAGAAAAGGGACATATTTGTTTGGAGGCAGAGGTAGGTGTAGATCCATCAAACTGAAAAGCAAGTTTTTAAACAGATTGTAGTTTCCTGAGGGTGCGTCTTAAATAAGTTGCCAAGTACATACTTGAGATTAGTAACAGAAAGTTTAATTTTGGAAGGACCTGAGTGATGGGTCTTCTTACTTACCTTGTTTCACAGTTGAGGAAACCAAGATTCAGAAAGGCAGACCCTCCTATGCCACAGAACTAGTCTGTGGGAAACTTGAGCTTAAAAACCCGTGAACACTGATTCTCGTGATGAAACTACAACACGATGAAAAGGATTATAATAGTGGTAAAAATATCTGCAGACAACGTGTTGTTTTTATCTCCATTTTGTAGATGGTAAAACTCAGGCTCGGAAACATTAAATAACCTTCCTGGGGTCACAGAGAGAAGAGTGTCAAAGGCTGGTCTAATCAGATAGTCAGTTTGTTGTCTTCCCATTGTATGAGAGTGCCTTTTGGTTATCTTTTGGAAGGAAGAAAATTTCCTTCCAAAGAAATTAATGATTAAAGAGCCTTCGGTTCAGTTCAGTCACTCAGTCGGGTCCGACTCTTTGCGACCCCATGGACTGCAGAACGCCAGGCCTCCCTGTCCAACACCAACTCCCGGAGCTTGCTCAAACTCACGTCCTTTGAGTCGGTGATGCCATCCGACCGTCTCATCCTTTGTCGTCCCCTTCTCCTCCTGCATTCAATCTTTCCCAGCATCAGGGTCTTTTCAAATGAGTCAGCTCTTCGCATCAGGTGATCAAAGTATTGGAGTTTCAGCTTCAACATCAGTCCTTCCAATGAATATCCAGGAGTGATTTCCTTTAGGATGGACTGGTTTGATCTCCATGCAGTCCAAGGGACTCTCAAGAGTCTTCTCCAACACCACAATTCAAAAGCACTTCAACACCAGAGTTCAGTTCTTCAGCGCTCAGCTTTCTTTATAGTCCAACTCTCGCATCCATACATGACCACTAGAAAAACCATAGCCTTGACTAGACGGACCTTTGTTGGCAAAGTAATGTCTCTGCTTTTTAATATGCTGTCTAGGTTGGTCATAACTTTTCTTCCAAGGAGCAAGTGCCTATATAAGAGCTAAAACTTTTTAACCCCTAGGAAAAAAGCACAGGCCTGATCTCCTCTAAAAATAGAACAAAATAGAAATTCTAGAACTGAAAAATACAACATCTGAAAGAAAAGAATTATTAAATGTCACCTTGGACTAAACAGTGATTTCTAAGATGTGACGATGTGACACCAAAAGCCAAACAAAAGACAAAAATAAATACATTGGAGTTATTCAAAATTTTAAAAATTTGTTTATCAATGAACACCATCAAGGAGGTAAAAAGACATTTGCAGAATGGGAGAACATTTTTCCACATCCTGTGTCTGACAAGAGACTTCTAGCACATATAAAACTATAAAAACAGCCCAATTAAAAGGGAACAGGTATTGGAAAAGACCCTGATCCTGGAAGAGAATGAAAGCAAAGGAAAAGAGGGTGGCAGTGGGTGAGATGGTTAGATAGCATCACCAACTCAGGGAACATGAATTTGAGCAAACTCTGGGAGACAGTGAAGGACAGGGAAGCCTGGCGTGCTGCAGTCAATCAGGTTGGAAAGAGCTGGACGTGACTTGGTGACTAAACAGCAAATTATTTGCATCTTTTTAAAAATATCTTCGAACAGTTTATAACAGCTGTTGCAAAGGTCTTGTGCTGTTGTTCCGTCCATTGTCCTTCAGTCTATTCCTATAGAATTATTTCTCCTGGGTTATGGGTTAGTTTCCTGGTCTTCTGGATGTCTCATAGCTTTTCATTGAATGCAGCACACTGTGGGTTCTATGTTGTTGAGAATCTGAATTTTTTAAATTTCTGTAAAGAGTTTGAGTTTTGTTGTAGGAGGCGTTTGGTTTCCTGGCTGGTCAGAGGGAGTCTGCATCAGAGGCTGGTGATCACCCCCCTGGGCCAGTTGCTTCAGCAGATTCCAGCTCTGATTGCTTTCCTCTTCCAGTGAGGCCTCTGCTCCTCTGTGGTCCCCGCCTCCATGTGCTGTGGGTCGCACATAACCCTAAGCAGACAGCTGGTGTGGACCAGGAACTTGCCTTGTGCTCACCCTGCTCTCAAGGGTCACCGCCCTGCACTGCCTGTAATCCAATACCTGAATTGGCTTTATGTGTTTTGTCCAGAGTTATTAATTGCTTATAGTGGGAGGGTAAGTCTGGAACATACCATGACCTGAACCATAGGTCTCTCCTGACTTATTTTAAATCATTCTGTTTTAGGTATATTAATATTTAAGTAGTTCCCTAGTAGCTCAGTTGGTAAAGAATCTGCCTGCAGTGCAGGAGACCTGGGTTCGATCCCTGAGTCAGGAAGATCCTCTGGAGAAGGAAATGGCAACCCACTCTAGTATTCTTGCCTGGGGAATCCTGTGGACAGAGAAGCCTGGAGGTCTACAGTCCATAGTGTCTCAGGAGACAGACATGAATTAGCAACTAAACCACCACCAAGTGGTTTTCAATGCTTAAATTTTCTTATGGGGAGAAGTTCAAGAGAGATTATAAGATTAACAAAATTTTTGTGTACTGTGTATTCCTTAGAGAAATCTCAGGTTTATTTAAACCATTTTAGGTGTTTGTATTTTTTTTTTT